ACTTAATTTTTCATTCTCTCTTCTTGTATGTCTAGGTTACGGTACCGGGGATATTTTGGAGGTGTAACTGCTCTTACAAGAGATCAGTTTTCCAAAGTGAATGGATTCTCTAACAACTACTGGGGTTGGGGTGGAGAAGATGATGACCTTCGAATCAGGTAAGCAATGAGGAGCTAGTTTTAAGAAATTTAAAAAATTGGCCCAACTTTGCACTAAGCCTCCAAGAGCAAAACACCCCAGGGGCCTTCATTCAGAACAGCACTGAACAGTATTGCAGTGGAGATGTGAAGTCCAAAATGCAGTTCTGTGAGCAGTTTCCTCTTCGCAAGGGTTAGGTATGTCCGATGCCTAATCCTCTTCCTCACTGCACTTTTGTCTGGGTGTGGGTTGTTATTTGGTTGGTCTGGTTTGGTTTTGTCTCAGACACACATTGTATTCTTGCTTGGAAATTGGTTATAACTGAAGTCTGGAGTGTGGTTTGCCAGACATACAAATGTATGGAGTTCCAGGGCTTTGCTAGAATGTGGGAGTGTTTTGGTGGGACTGGGTGTTTTGTATTCATTGACTACTGGATTTACTCCAAGTAAGGTTTAGTTTGTAATTGTGTAGTGTTGATTATAGTGAAGATAGCAAGTAACTTGAATTTTAGAAAGGCTACATATACATGCATATGCCCTTTGCTCTTGTGAAAACTCATTTTGCAGATGTGCCTGTCAAAGTAGGAGAAACCTGTTGGCTGGAGAGGTTTAGTGGGACAAAGAAGTCAACCAAACTTTTATGTTGATCTTTTGCCCTTTGCCTAGGAATAAACCTCTAATCCTGCATTGCTGTTAGTAAATGGAGAAAAAACCACAAGCAAACAGCAGATAAGAAACCACACTCCGCAAGCTCTGCTGGCAGAGCCTATCAGTTTGTAACTCGGTTTTAACTCCATTATTTTTAAGTTGTTATCCTTTTCAGTTGCTTAAATATGCAAACAAGCATTTCGGGGACATTAAATTTATAGCCCTGGTGATGTTATGTAAATATAGAGGGGATTGAGTGTGTTAGAAGTTAGGAACTTGCAAATGAAAAGTGTTTTTCGGTGTCAGTTCAGCAGATTGGTCAGCTCTAGCTGAAGAAACTGGAAAGGTCTGCTGCAGGTACAGATTTCTGTCCCTTAACAACAACTATTTTTTCCTTCTTACTCCTGCCTATATGCACCAACTTCTCTGTGACCTCCTGGGAGCTGACTTCTATAGTTTAGGAGGTGGCTTGGTGCTATTTTATTTCCTGGCTTCCCACTGGTAATAGTTCTTTCAGATATTCCCTTGGGCAGCAGAGAAGCAGCAGGACAGCAGGATTTACTGAGGGTCTCTATGATGTTTGCAAGGGGTTGGAAACAAGTGATGTTTTTGTGTGGCACTTTGACTTTGCAACTCTTGAGGTCTTGATGGGGAAACCAAGTCCTGACCCAGTGTGTGCTCTGCAGCTGGACTTTGCTTGTGCCTTGGGCTGGCCTGGTGACTGAGTTTGCAGGGGTGGGGAATGGCAAGCTTGCTGTCTGGTGGGTTGTTGTGCACAGATCCTTGGAGCTTTCCCGAGGGAAGTCAGCAGATGGCAGCATCCCTTCGGTGCTCTCAGAATTCGGGGCCGCTGACACACATTCTGCAGATCTGCCTCTGGAACAAAGGTGATGGTCTCATTTGGACCCCTCCTAAGGCGTGTATCACAGAGAGATTCTTCAAATAATTTGTCGTAGTTGTTTGATAATTTACTGCTACAAAGTCACGGAAATCTGTACGGGGCTGAGTTTTTTCAAATCTTGGTTTCCTATTTTTCTTTCAGCTGATGAGTGACTAACGTAGAGGTGGACTATTCATTAATTCCCTTGTCATAAAGCTTCTTTCTTTCTGCTGTTAGGGCAAAGCTGTGCTCCACAGATATATGTAAGGTAGAAACTCCAGCTAAGCACCTGATGTCAGACATTTAAATCTGTGCACAGGGCTCAGTGCTTCTGGCATTGTTCTTAGGGAAATTTTCTTCATGTGAACAAATAAAAGTTTTGCAGCTGTCTGCCAGCTACTAAAAAATAAAACAATCTTTTAATTTATTTTTGTAAAACTATCAAGTATAGGGGTTTTATGGCAGGGGTTGAGATGAACTTGTTGCAGAACATGTGGAAACTTGCTACAGGGCAGTAGAGAGTAGTCCAGTGAATACTGATATAAATGTACTCTGTTGCATAATGTGTGCTTAAAACTCTACGTCTCTACTGTAAGTAGTTACCTGTTCAAAAGACAGGTGTATCTGTCACCCACCCCAGACCTATTCTCAGGAATGCAACTCTGAGCCTCATTTTTCTGGCAAAATAGGTTGTGGAAGAGATGCAGATTAGCTCTTACAACTCTCTATGTTTTTTTCCACAGCATCTGCAAGAGATGAAGTCTCCAGCTGTTGGGTTTTTTTTCATTAACAGCTGGTTTATAGGTGTTGTCTTCCTCACAACACTTCTTATTGCTTCTTGCAGGGTTGAGATGCAGAAGATGAAAGTGGTGAGGCCGCCTGCTGATGTGGCCAGGTACACGATGATCTTCCACAAGCGTGACCACGGGAACGAGGAGAATCGAGAGAGGTGGGTCAAGAACAGGTTTCTACCTCGCAGTGTCATGGTCTGTGGCTGAGCCAGGCACCTGGGGGACAAGTTCTCCAGGCCAAACAGGCTTCTTGTGGTATCCAGAGGCTCTGGGGGACACCCGTGTGACAACACTGTTCACAGCTGGCAGCTGTTTTCTCTGCATGAGATCTTCCTAGAACTTGACTGGATGTTTCCTAGAAACTTCCAAAATTACACTCACATAGGTATGATTAAAGCACAATTTCAGAGATTGACCTAAAGGATTTTTCTCGCCATATGTGATTGTGCTGAAAACAGGAACAACTTTGTGTAGCTATGATATTTTATGGAAAATCTTTTCCTAGGATTTTTCCCCTCATGAGAGCTGAGGACCTCAGGAAAGAAATGTAAACAATAACTATCTGCTGCTGTGGAATGCAGCAGGTGCATCTTCCATTGGTCCATGTTGACTGTTTTCAATTAGTGACCAATCACAGCCACCTGTGCCAAGGCTGTGAGCAGTCACAGGATTTTGTTATGCATTCTATTCTATTCTTGTTCTTTGTAGCCTTCTGATCATTCTTCTCTGTCTGTTCTTTTAGTATAGTTTTAATGTAGTATTTTAGTATAATATATAACATAATAAATCAGCCTTCTGAGAAAAATGGAGTCAAGCCTCGTGTCCCCACACTTGGAACATCCACTGCAACAACTTTGTATTTCCAGTAGACAAAAAACAGCAGTAGCTCTGCTTCCAAACTTACTACCATTGGGAAAGAGCTCAAAACTCCAGTGCATGTCAGTGAAGGTTTTTCTCCTCTTTGTCCTCAGGATGAAGCTTCTCCGTCAGGTCTCTAGAACATGGAAGACAGATGGCCTGAATTCCTGTTCCTATAAACTGCTCTCTGTGGAACACAACCCACTGTACATCAACATCACGGTGGACTTCAGTGTGCAGCCCAAGGTCTCATAGGGGCCAGCACCTCCCAAGTTAAAGGAAATGGTAACAGATCTCCTTTGTGGCTGCTGTTAGAGCAGATGACTTCCAGCACCTGCTTGGAAGAGTCCTTCAGTAGCACAGGAGCAAGTAAAGTGCTCCTTCACAGCATCTCATTGAGTGGTTGAGAGTTTCCTTTTGTGAGGACTGGAGTTATGGACTGACCTAAGGGACAGGTCCTCGTGTTCTTCTATGCACTTTTTTTCTGGGACATTAGAAAATATGTCCTTGTTTGAGCTGGTCCAAGGACTTGAACCAACTCCCTGAAAAAATATTTCATTTTGCAACTCTTTCTAAAGTTATTTGTGGTCTTATTAAAAGCACAATAACTCTTAAAGAACTACAAAGTTGATGAGAAAAGTTAATTTTTTCCGGCCTAAGGAAAAACTGCTTATTTGTGAGGGAAGGGCAGTAATGGTAATGGGTAAGGAGATGTAACAAATTTCTCAATAAATGCACTCCACTGAACTCCAGAGTGTCTCATCCTTCACACCACAGTGTCCCCTACTGAGGGACTGCTGCCATGTCCCGTGGCAGTGATCAGTCTCATTCTGCAGCAGGATGCCTGCTGCTCTCCAGGGATCGGGAAGGAAAGGCAGTGGCCAGCTGTGTTGGAGGGGGAGACATTCTGCTCCACATATTTTAATGCTTTGGGCCACACTGTTAGCAGAGTGTGGATCTGTATACAGACCCAGGCCATCATCAGCTTGGAGTCTTGCTTAAGAAACAGGTGAAAGGCTGTGGATAACCAGCTGTTCCACTGTGCTGCTGGATTTGTGCAGAAGTCTTGATTAGAGCACTGGACTTACTGCATTGTATTTAACTGTCTTTACTGTAGATGTGAAGCCAGGCTTGCGAGGGTTTCTTTCAGCACATTATTCCAATTGTGGAGAAGACTGAAACGAAATGTTTTTAAGTATAGTGGCATGGATGCAGCTTTTCAGTGGTGAAGGAGCTTTTGTATCTTCAAGGAACAAGCCAAAATACCCTGTGTCACACTCTCAAAATAACTGGACCTGACAGGCAGTGCTACAGACTGAGTTGGCAGAGAAAGGAGGTTTACAGCAAGGGCAAGGGTTTGGGCTGACTGTGTCAGTCTCACAGTCAGGTAAGTACAAATGCATTCCTGCCAGGTCACAGTTCCACTGTTTACATGTTTGACCTTGAGGAAAAACTAGTATTTAATTTCTCACAAGTATTTTATATTGAAGACAGCTCAGCCTTGAATGATACTTAATGTCTGAGCAACAGCTGTAGTAGTAGATTAATTTCCCTGCTCTGAGCAGGAGGTTAGACTAGGTGACAGCCTCAGGTCCCACTCAGTCTGCATTACTTGCAGCTACAATAAAACAATTTCAACAGTGGTGGTTTGGGTCAGAAAAAAAAAATCAGGGATTTAAACTCTGGTTTGTCTGGTTTCAGGGCAATTTTCTCTTTTATTACACTCTTATTCAGTATTCTATAAAACTCTTAAGCCAAACATATAACTCCATTTATTTTACTCAAATTCACAAAAGATATTTATAGAACTGTAAATGGCTTCAACACCTTCTCAAAATACAACACGTCAGAGGCCAATCTGACAGAATGGCTTGCATCCCAATTAACACTTAAGTACAAGGCAGGACAGAGCTATCCAGCTACTGAACAAAGGTTCCAGAAAGCTTGGATTGGCTTACTGCCATAGACATGGCTCAGGAATCAGTTTTACAGTGACCTGGACAATTTTTACAGTAAGCCACAGACTGTTTAGTAGCTGTCATACCCTGTTCCTGGAGCCTCTTCTAAACCTGAAACAATGAAGAAAAGTGAAAGGCAAAAGGGTTAATCTCAGGTGGGACAGATGCCACAGGAAAACGGGAGGGACTGGCTGAATGCCCATGTGGCACCCAACCTCTGCTTTTTAGTCTCTTAAGAAAATGGGGGAACATATCCAATGTCCACAGTGATCTTGGTATAAAGAGGATGCTTAGTCCTGGAAAGGAGCCTGAACTGTAATGTATTCATTCCATCAGCTTTCCATGTTTTTCTGGTGTTGTGTTGGGAAGGAGGCCTGAGGGAGGAAGAATACCTGCAGTTAGAAGAAGGAAGGTAACATTTGCAGCTGAAGCTGCAGAAGAAAGAGTCTTCCAGAGGGCAGAAAAGCCCTGAGACAATTCTTCCCATGATACAGACTGAACAGATTAGAGTGAGTTCACCACTGACTATTCCAAACAAGGAGGACAATTTGGACTGGACCCTGATCAGAGAGGGAGCCCAGCAAGGTGGCAGCTAGAGTCTCCAAAAACCAAGAAGCTGTCAGCAGCTTACAGAGAGCTGGGAGTGCAACGCAGAAGTTTGCAGCCACAGTGTACACAGGCTGCTGTAGGTAGGTTTTTGACAGGGTTGTTATGGAAACCTGAGTTTTGAGATGATAAAGAGAAATCTGCACTGCTGGTATGAGAAGCCTCCACCACACTTGACCCAACACCCTCCTCCAGCTCTTCTATATAAAACAGCCTTTGATCAAGTCTCTCATAGCACCTTTCTCATGTCTTCAAACTGGAATATTGCTTTCCACTATTTTAATGGCATGTTGTAATTCCACACAGACTGAACAGCAAGCTTTTAATATTGGGAACTTGTAACACAGTGCCTCTTCAAACTGAATTCTCCCTATTTATAAGACAGTATTTTTTTTTCTTTAAGTTTTACTTCCTATACAATTTCATGTTTAAATCTATGTGTTAGCTTCCTAGCTGGCATGTGTCCTTCACAATAGGAGGAAAAGGCAGAAAACTAGGAGAAACCCTTCAAATGTGAAGACAGGAGCCAAATGATTCAGTTGAAACTGACTGAGGGCTGCTTTTAAATAGCCTTCCTAAAGCAGAAAAAGCAGCAGTGACATGAGGCATGTGTAGCCTGTGCTGGGGAAGATGACAGCAACAGCCAACCTGCCACAAGGCCCAGAGTAGCCCCCAGCCCCACCAGGTACCTCCTCCAGGGCTCTTGGAGCTCTGTCTCTTCACTGTAGTCCATCACTCGGTAGCGGCCAAGGTGAGGGGATGTCCGGACTATTTTCATTCCTGCCAAGTGAATCCTTTAAAACACAAAAGTGTTTGCTTAGGCACAGAGATGCCACTTCCAGGCTTATGGTCACAGATGATTTTCAGTGCTAATGCAATAAAAACAAGGTGCAGAAGCAGCACAGGGCCACATGACCTTCTCTAGCAGGCTGTAGGCCAGGCTTGGTCTAGAAAGCTCCCAGCTGCAGTGCACTTTGACAGGGCACAAGGGGATTAGAGCAAGCAGGGAATGAACTACAACATACAGAGCATTCAAGAGCAGTTCCCCTGAATCTGAGCATTATTCCACTTCCTCCTCAGAGCAGAGCTTTTGCTGCCTAGAGGTCCATCACTTAAACTTTAAGGAGAAAAAAAAAAGAAAGAAAAAAAAGACCTCAAACTTGCAGTTTCTGAAAGGAAGCCAGTCCTGAGTTTCAAAACCAGATTAAGCCTCCCTGTTCTTTGAGAAGTGCCATTCATTCAGATGGCCTGATTAGACTGGTTCATAAAAGATTAGGGATAAATACAGGCACCAGACAAACATATGTAAACTCAGCTGCAGTACAGTTAGATAAGAGGGACTGAAGGCTCAGAATTCCAGGAACAGAGCTTCTAAGCCCAGCATTTTGGGTGACTTTCAAGCAACTCACAGCCCACTGCTGATAGCACCTATGTTACTTTGCCAATAAAAAGTGCCTTCAATAGTGCTACAGCTACCAAATCTCTGTTATCACAGGACAGCCCTTAGGCAGAGAAAATTCCTGTGAATGTAAGAACGAATGTTTGCTCAATTGAGGTTATCTAACTGGCATGTGTGCAGCATTTGACTGCATTCCATCAGGATCTGATACAGCAGGAATGTTATAAAGCTGAAAGGCTACAGAACTGAAAATATTTGTTAGGCTAGAGCCATCAGATGATTATAACACTTCACTGACAGTGTTGTAGTTCCATTATTTCACATGGAGTTTTAGACAAGTTTCTTGTTTTCTGAACATAAGCTTATGGCACATTCAATCATAAAGAAACAAAAAAGCAAGAACACTAAACTAGCTTTGCTGTTACAGCTTTTTGCATTGCAAATAAGAATAAAACTGAATAGTTAATACATTCATTTACTGTTAAGAAGAGTCCAAGAGACTTTCCTGTAGTTGAAAATGTTAACACATGAGTGGCTCCAATTAGAATAGTGTTTACTTCTAATAGAAGGCAGATCTTGGTATTTGCTGCAACTTGTATTACAGAGTACTGCAGTCTGGTGACTATTAAGTAGCAGCTGGCAGTTTTTTTCATTAACTCTGCTTTTAATAAGCAGTATCCCAGAAAAAAAAAAAATCATCTTTGCACAGAATTTTTTAAAACTGGACATTAAAATGTTAAAAAAAATTTTCATTAATTTTTTTGCTACATGGTAAGAAGTGCTCGAGCACCTCCTAAAATCCAGATCCCAGCTGGTCATTGAAGAACAGCCAGTTCATTCCTAACTTCTGCAGGCTGAGACTTCAGAATGTGAATAAATCATTAACAGGCATTGTCCACAGCCTCCATGTATCTCTGGGCCAAAACATGGCTAATCATTAGTGTAAGTTTTCTCTGAAAACATAGGCTCTAATTTCCTTCCAGAAAGGGCTATTCTGGGAGCTATAGAATTCACTTGCCTTCCAGGATTCTCTTCAAAGAAGTGCACTCCTATGCATAACTGGCATGACTCCACCCTGGGTACCAAAAACCAAATTAGATGCCTAAGCTATACTAAGAACAGCTGAATAGATCCAGCATTGTAGTACTTGATGTAAAGATCTATTTTCCTGGCATTCTATTCCTTTCATAAATGCTGACTCTCTAAACAACCATACAACCTATTAGTTGGCTTTCTCTGAAAGGCAAAGGAGGAATTCTATATTAGAAAAATTTGGCTTTCAATTCCCAGATGAATACTGCCTTGAAAAAAACCCTGTAACTTGTCACATTATGCAAGACAAAAATAACAAAGGCTTCCATGGTCAGTTTAGTTTTATAAACTCCCCATGAGCCTGCCTCAGTGCAGGATCATAAAGGTGCACAGTGCAATTCCAAAGCTGAATAAAGAAGCTGCAGCCATGATTCTGTACTTGAAGAATTCACATTAGGCAGAGCACCTGGAACTAAACTCATCTATAGAATGCTGCTGCCATGGCAACCAAAGTACAAGAAAAACCATCAACTCTTGCTGTCACTGACTCACACTGGTACACAGGCTCCTCCATCACTCAGCACTGCAGACAAAAGGTAGAATTCCTCGTGCTCCTTAGTCCCAAGTATCAGTGATTAGGTAACACTTGGAGCAGCCTAAATGCACTTAACTTAAACTCCCAACTGTCTGAGAATTAGTTAAGCACCGTCTTATTTGTCAAGCTTGCAGATTCCTTCCCTCCCTTGGGGCTGTCGACATCAGTGGTGGCACTTGTCAACTACAAGCAGTTCCAACCCCTTGCACTGAAGGCACAACGATGTGAAATAACATTCTGCTCCCCGGAAATGAGAAAGCTTCCTTTTCCCAGAACACAGTGATTGGATTCATAGGTTCTGAGCATCTTCTGACATTAAGCATTCCCAATACCAACAGCATGTGGGATTACAATGGTACTGCAAGCACATTAAGGAACAATGTTGTTGGTTCCTTTCCTAGGGTGCTGCTGTGCTTCACTTGCCAGCTTAGATCCATTTCAAGCCTGTCCTGTGCATTGGTACCTTGTAGCAATGTCATCATTTTCACCACCATCACCCCAGTATGTGTTGGGAAACCCATTCATCTTCATGTAATGTTCTGGAGTCAGAGCAGACACGCCCCCAAAAAAGGACTTGTATGGCAGACTAAAAGAGAAAACAAACAGGCAAACAAACACCACCCTCCAAAAAAACCCCAACCACCAAAAATCAGAGTTCACTATTGAAGGCTAATGCCTGTCCTCCACAACTAACAGTGTAATCTAAGCCACACATACATTAATTGCACACTTGCAGTCACTGTCTTGACAATGCCAAACCCCAAAACAGTAAACCCAGTGTAATTCCCATCATGTTCCATTCCCCTCATTGTGTCCCAACACCTTCCCTCAGAACTGACCAAAGTAAAGCTGGTTTCAAAATTTGTATCTTGGATCAGTTTAAAATACCTGTAACCTACCACATCATATTCCACATGATCCAATATTACCACCTTATACTTTTTTTTTCTTGAAGGAAAGTCAAACAGAATCCTGCCAGTCATTTGGCAAGCTGAGCTAACTCTGGAACAGGGAACTACGGGAAAGGAAACATTCAAGATTGCGTGCCTGGGTCAAAAATATCCTTTTCTAGGAAGTAACTACTGCAAAACTAACACACAGAAAACCTCATAAAGGTTGTGCCTTTCACTGTTCCCACCCATACTTTCTTAACAGGAAGTGAACCAACTGGAATATACCCACAGAAAGCAAATGGAGGCACTTACGTGTACTGAAACTTATCCATGGCACTGGCCATGTGCTTGGGATAATATTCATCACAAATGTACAGGTTATAATCATTCTCAGGCACCAGGTCAACATCATGCAGGACAAGGCAGTCCCACTCTTCATCCTTCATGGCTTCCCGGACACCGACATTAAGCAGCTTTGCTCGGTTAAATGAACCAGTCCCTGCCTGGAAAAGAAAAACTACATTTCTTCACCAAAACAACAAAGATGTTGTTAGATAACTCTGTTAAAATTTGTTTTAGTGCAAAAGCCTTATTCAAATGAATTAATCAATACTGGCTGCAAATTCCATGCTCCCAACTTTGAAAATGTCACCCATCCTCTTCACAACATTCTCAACAATTGTCAGCTTTGCTACGTCAGGGGCTATGCACTGCTGGCAGCTTTCAAGAGACCCATAAGCCAATCCTCAGGTGCACATTTGCACAGCAACACTTTTGCCCCGACTACTGTTTACTAAAACTTACAAATGAGAAAAAGATCTTGGTCAAACAAAAAAGCTTCTTTGCCCTCCCAATACTGGTTTTAATTGATGGATCCGAAACTTGCCCCCTCGTCACTGATCTTTTGCAACACCAGTCTATGTCAAAAGGCTATTTGACCTTGAGGCACAGGCTGCCCCACAGCAGGGCCATGCCACATGTTTATATTCACAGACTGAAAATATCCAGCTTCACTTCAGCATTTAGTCTCCAGGTTTTGCTCAGTAGTCACACTGACAAACCACACGCAAATCTCAAAAAGAGGAAAACAAAAGTTACCACTGTCCTGGGTTACAAAAGGAAAGTGCTACTGTGGGGTGTAACCAAACTCTGTATTCTACTTTCCTCTACAGCATTTTCAGACAAACTCTTAAAGAAGGGTCATTTACAGCAGCTGCCCAGTGCACAGCCACCCCTCAGGCTACAGCTGGGTGTTACATAAGGAAAAAAGAGGCAGCCCTGGAAGGCAGGACAGTGTTTCCTTCTCTTCATGCCGGTGACTCAGCTGTGGTACCTCCCTCCGGTGAAGCAGCAGTCCCACCCATCCTGAAGGGTCTCCTCGAAGAGGCCATCATCAACTCAATGGCACCAGCAGAATACCTGGCACCAGGAACCTCCGCCAAGGACTCCAAAAATATTGTGTCCCTCACAGGACTACATCACTCCATTGTGAAACTCCCTGTCCTGGGGGAGGTACCACCTGAAGCTGACCACATATAATCTCGATTTGGGGATTTGGCACTTGGCACACCACCACTGCTTGAGGAACCCAGAGGAGGACCAGACCTTCTGCAGGACCACCTTTTTCAACACTGCAGCCACCACTTAATCAGACTGTGACCACCATCCTGACCAACAGGGGGACAGGCTATACTCTGACTTTGTCACTTTAAGCCAGTGTTTCTGTATTAATGCATTTATTGCAATCTTTCCGCAGCCACCACTTAATCAGACTGTGACCACCATCCTGACCAACAGGGGCACAGGCTATACTCTGTCACTTTAAGCCAGTGTTTCTGAATTAATGCATTTATTGCAATTTTCTATTAAGTTGTAATTCTGATCTGAAATCTTTCTCAAGGTGATTTTGTGGGGGTTCATTTCTCCCGCTGGTTTACTTTCAAACCAACACAACCATTTAGTGACAAATTTATACCCCCAGGAAAAAAACCAAACTACAACAGAACCAATTAATAGCAGAATGATGATCTTGACAAGTGGTATGGTATTTCAATCATTAGCAGTCATGGAGGTGGGACAGCCATCTGACCTCCTCTCAGCCCATGCATAAAACAGTATTTCCACATCAGAAGAGTCACATTTCTTCTTCAGAACCCAACCCTTGAGTGGTGTAGGTGAGCCTCCCAGCAAGCACATTTGACTTGGATTTACCTGCTGAATCAGGTAGATAGTGTAACTGAGCTGCTGGCGCTGCAGGAAGGGATGGATGTAGTAGAGAAGATGGCGAAGGTACTTCTCCTGGTTCCTGTAGGCCACAAGGATGGCGGATTTGTAGCGGGGAAAGCAGTGAGGTGGCTTGTAGTGGCCACCAGACTGAACAAAAGGATTTCTTTTCATGATCATCCTTTCACTAGGAAGCACCCTGAAGGTGATGGTTAATGGACCAACTGTGAGGAGAGACAGAAAAAAGAAAAGTAAGATCAGTGATGTTTCTCCACCTTTTGTCAGACCTATGAGATCAGCTACCCATGCTTGCTCCTTCAGACAGCAGCCCCACCAGAGAAGAGTTAACAGCACCCATGCAGAAGTGGCTCCATGATAAATTTCACTGCTGGCCTGCTGGCCACCTGTCCTGCTCCACAGCAAGAGGAGGAGGGAGAGGTGGCCAGCTCAGCACCAGGAGGACACACTACTGCCAGGCATCCCGAGTCCTGGCACAGCCACCAAGTCTCACTGGGCTGCAGCGCAGATGCTTCTCCCTGGGACTGCCTGCCTACTACAGCCTTGTGTTGCTCAGATGAGATCCTTGAATAAATGGATTCACTGAAAGAAACAGCGTTGAAAATTATTCAAGATGAACAGACACATCTGCTTTTGCTACCCATTTGGAAAATTTCTCTAAGCCTCTTTCAGAAGAGATTCAAGGACAATGATATGCAAGTGGATATTCAGCAGGTCAGGGGAGAAACAGTTTAAAGCTTGGATGAATAGAAATGCTTTAGAAAATGTCAGCTCTACCTTTAAGAGCACTTCAAGTCCAATTTGATGTTATAATCACATGCCACAATGGCTGAATTTGCTATATTATTTCATTTTATACACAGTGATAAGCAGGCAGTACTTCAAAACGTTGAGAGAAGCAGATGACAAAGAGAAAGAAGAAAGATGTCATATTTTCAGGAACAGGCACAGGATAGCAAAAGAAACTATATATGATTGTTGTTCTACTCAGCAATTTGTTTTTAATAGAAATATATAAAATATAATACAAATATAAATAATAATATCATTATAAAATGTACTGGATATCTTCAAGACTTTTTGCCTAATTAAAAAAAGATCTGCATTTTTACATGAATCCTTCCATTCTTCAGATGGAAAAATACTGACAAGTCGTAAGTGAAAAAGAATCCATATAAAGTGTCAATACCCATTTTAACACAAACCACACTGTTACAATATAAATAAACAAATTTAAATTATCTAAATGCCTGTCTTCTTGAGTAGTGAGAAAAGCTTCCAGAAGTAGCAGAATACTTATATTTATACACAAATCAGTGTGTCTTAATTGTTTTCTACATTTGTGAACTTTTAAGAAAATAAAACACAGATGCAGAACAAGATTAACATCCAAGGCTTAAATGAACTAGGAAAAAAACTTTCACCCAAATCATAATTAGAAGCTGGCAATTTCAAATGACAGGTCTATTTAAAAATTCTTTGCAGGCCATTCTACCAAAGGCAAAATGGTTTTTTTTACACCAGAAGTCTGCAAGGCAAGTTTGTAATTGGTGGTGTTATTTTTTAATAGCTATGAACAATATTTTCTTTTCTTTCCAAGCTGATAATTAACACCATGGCTGCCCTAAATCAGGTTTTCAGTACCTTGCAAATGAGACTCCCTCTGAAACCACTGAAATAAATTCTGATAATGAAGCATGAGAGAGAGCAAATATTTAGGCCTGGTGTTTAGGAGCTTTCATTTGAGCAGAAGAAGGTACAGATATGTTTTAAGACTAAATGACCAAGTGAGTCCAGAATATGCTTCTTTCAGTCCATCTTGCATTCAAATCTCTGCTACAATTCTAACAAAAACAAACAAAAAAATTGAGCCTGCCCACACCCACATCCTGTTTAACAAACACAGAAGGAAGCAATATCCCTCCACTGGTTTTGGAGATTTGGGTTTTTTGGGGGTTGGTTGGTTGGTTTTAGGTTTTTTAGAGCAGTAACAAGGCTTAAGGACTAAATTTGCCATAAAATTCAAAGTGTCCATTCTGAACCAGGGAGCATCTTGCTACTATGAGGTTGCCACACCTCACATTTCTGATGAGCAAACCTGTATTTGATAAGTGTCTCCTTTCCTTCCTCAAGAAACACACAAATGGCATTTCCTGAAGGTCAGTCTGAAGAGCCACTGATCCCATTTCTAATGCTGTCAAAAACATCTGGTCTGAATTCCCCTGCATGGGTTTTGTTCATTGTTTTTTGTTTGTTGGTTTGTTTTTAAAAAGAAAGCCTGACTTTTGCTTGTCAGCAAGATTTTGCAATAGCTGACTCTTAAACATCACTTTTCAGTCCTTCTCCAACTATTTAAAATACAGGAGAATTTGGTTTTCACTGCATTACCCGCAGCAGGAAAGCAGAGTACATATATTTACCATATATTTGTACCCAAAACAGAAGAGTGGTTCTTCAGAGAATCATTGTGTGGGCTGTGAACCTAGGTCACATTTACAGTGAACGTTTCATGATGTTATTTCCTACCTCTGTGCATGCAGTTTCCCTTTCCACCGTTAAGACTCCCATGTTTCAGTCCAACAATGTTATCAACCTGTAGTTTATGTTGCTGTTTAGATTAATGGACTCGCTGATTATCAGATCTTTCAACCTAAAGCACCATTAACCACTAATTTGATGACAACTGGAGCTTGCTAAAGAAGTATTATATTCAAGGATTTAAACTATAGATCACTGCTCTAAGGAAAAAATAAGAAAGGGAATTAATCTCTTTTATTCTCCCACAAAGGCAGGGTTTTATTTTCTATAGAACAATTGGAACTCTGTATTGCAGAGTAAGATTCTGCAGCAACAATCTTTAAATTCCAGAAAAAATAAGATCTTAATTTGGACGTAAGGGTACCAGTAAGATAATGTGAATAGCTTCACTCCTGTTCTCTCCTTCCACACCCAAGCATACCATTCAGGAGGGTAACATTTGCATTTTCCAGGTTTTTCAAGATATCGTGTTCTGCCATACTGCCTCTCTACACCTCAAGCAAATCAGCTCAGAAACTCAATCAGGAATATGCCAAGGGAAGGAAAAAAAAAAATAAATCAGTGTGACTTACATCCCCAAAACCTCTGGCTGCCCTACACCCCTTGGCTACAAGCTACATTCTGGATCTCATGTCTCCCTGCCGTCCAACTAACAAAAGGCTAATGCAATCGAATCCAATTAAATCCCAAATGTGAACAGAGCACTTGCAGGCTGGACCAAAGAGGGATAAATAAAACTGTCAAAGCACAGCCTTGGAGAAGGAGAAAAATCCATCTTACACATATACTAGGAAGCACAGGATCCCTGTTGAGGCAGGGTACAGAATCAACACCCTGAAGTGTCCAAGCAATTTTCCCATGGCCTGGTTAAAAAGATGTTTCTGTGCCTGTACCATCACACAGAGGGTGTTTAATGAATACGAAACTTCAGTGTACTGTTAGGTCTCACAATTCCCTGTCTGTGTTAGCTGGTGCCAGTGACAGCACACTCCCTGCTTGCTTCACTCCCCAGACAACATATTTACCTATCAGGGGACCTATTGACTTTGACCATACCTATCCCACCTCATGGAACTAACTCCAGGACTTCTGAACTCATTTAGAGTTTGCAGCTGTAATTGCCAAGCCCAATCAGGATAATCAGAACTTACACAAGATGAACAAACAGGAACAGTAGCATGGGTGAGTGCTGCACTCAGATACTGCAGCTCCACACACTACATTAACACAGTCATATCTGTGTAATTCTACCAGTGCTTGGGGAAAAAATAAAAAATCAGACCAACAGCTTTCATTTAAGCATCAGTTTCTAATGATAGAATACAAGGCTGCCTCAATGGCACCTGAAAATAAATCTCAGCATTCATCACTGCCACCTTTTTATTTCTCTTTCAATCCAAGAGAAGAAACTCTGGCAGCATTAGAAAATATAGCAGGAGCTTCTTAATACAACAGATGGTCCTGCTCATGAAAAGGTTATGACAGATGGGAGTGAAAGGCAGTAACTGCTATAAGAAGGGCTTGGAAAAAATCCTTCCATAGCATGAGCAAATTATAAACAGCAGAGTTACAGACAGAACTTTCAGCTATTAAAGTCCTCGAGGGCCAAACCAACTTGTTCAGCACATACCATGCACAAAGGAAGGTACCCCTTTAAACAAAACCAGAAAAAACACAGTAAAGCCAAATCTTCCAGCACCAAACTTCTTCCTCATGAGAGGAAAAGATAAACTGAAACAAGACATCTTGCATGCAATGTGAGAAAGTCAGATTTTGAATTTAAAAGCTGCTTAGTTATGTTTAACGAAGTATAACCCTGCCATATAAGCACTTCACTTTTCTAAAAACAGAAGAGGAAGAAACAGGCAATGGGTTACTTGTGTAGAAACTTTAACCTTTCAGGGAACTCGAGTAATTTATTCACAATATTAGTGAACACCTGCAATGCTTTTCAAGTTGTTGGTCACAAAATGTTCATTGGACACCACTAGGTGTTTAAAAGTACCACTAGTCAGCAGAAGTCTAATTCCTCTAAGGCAGAGATGATTAGCAATTATACTATAATTCTTGGAAGTCCTGGAAGAACCAAGTTGCTACATATTCAGGAGACAGGAAATAGACAGATGAGCTGCAAGCTGATTAACATTCAAACAGTTATCAAAATGATCTACTGTATGTATAAATGGAAAAAGTGCTGCACTTCATAAAAGCCCTGATGCAGAAACCATTTAAGCCATTTGGCATCCTTCCAGGTACTTTAACACACTTTAGAGTGGGCACAGTGACTTATTACCAGCTCTGAACAGGAGGCTGAGTCCTCAAGAATTGATTTGAAATCTCATTTAATAGAGTTGATGAAATTAATATTAAAAGGCATTGCTCTCTGCAATATAATGCTTCCAAGAATCATCAGTATCATGAGAGATGATGGCAACAACTATTCAAGACATTTATAAAGTATTTATATCTCAATTCATATGTGCCCATCACGTACAAAACAAGGGACAACTCCCTCACAAAATAGCACGCTTCTCAGCTAAGAAAAAAGCCAAACACCCAGAAGAGGCTGCATGCAGTGACAGAAGTAATAATTTACATCCTGTATTTAGAAGGAAACACCACTGAGCAAAAGTTAAGCAGTAGCAGAGACCTCGTTTTTCTTAAGCTGAATTTGTATCAGTGCTCCAAATTACTTGTGTTTCACTTCAACAATGGTTCATATGCTCAACTCAGTATTTTCATACAGCAAAGCTTACACAGTTACTTTGCCTCATGGTTGGCTTTTTTCTCTCCCTCCAGCTTACTGTTTGTTTCTGTCTGTGACTAACATCATGTTTCCATTTTAGCTCTGAAGTACCGCCTGCAGGACGCTCCCCTCTTCTCAGCACTCAGTGATGGGCAGAAGAAGATTTCTTAAAAAGATTTCCCAGCTCTAAGAGCACAAATTAGTGTAATTTTACTCTGCATCTGCCTCCTCCACATACGTCACTACTTTTACTTATCTGATGGTTTGCAGGCAAGGTGCAGAATTGTTTGGTTCTTTCTTTTTGACACTAAAGCTGTCTTATTTGACTCTTTAGGAGAGGGGAATTTCGAATTGTTTGGTTCTTTCTTTTTGACACTAAAGCTGTCTTGACTCTTTAGGAGAGGGGACATTTATCAGTAGTGGAGACAAATTAGGTGCAGTCACATTTCTGCTGTGCTTTTTAAAATAAAACAATTCAGCCTGGAATAAGGAATTGTAGCATCCCAGAACTGAATGGGCTGCAGTGCACAGAGGCTGTGACACCCAGCAGCTGTGCAAAAAGGCTCTGTGCTGTCAGGATTTCAGGATTTAGAAGAGCCATTTCTGAGGGAAATGCTGAAACACACACCCAAGGCTATCCTACAATTTCATCATACATACTGTATGTATTTAATTTAATTGCAAGCAACAGGGTAAGGAAGAAAACATCTCAGAAGAATAGGTATCTTACAAAGATTGCAGTCTGAGCAGGCTCATCCAAAGGGTCCCAGCAGAGTTCTCCAACCTAAGTAAGACATTGACACAAGAGCACTGGCTTCCCACAGAACTTCCACGTGAACCAAGGTTCATTGCTCCTCCTGGGCTCCATGTGCAGTGATCAGCTTTCCTAGAGCAGCAGTCCAAGGCTAGGTGTATTCAACATTTAGACATGCAGAAACCTTTGCAGTATGAAAAAATCTGACAGAAGTAACTTACTACACAGTACCCTAAGAAGGTGATGGCCCCAAACCAGCTCTAAGTGCATGCTGATGGAACTTAATCCATTCATGGCTGGCTGAGTCAGAGGGAGTCACTATTGCCTGAGCAGCACCATGACTTTACTGGCAACACACCTGCTTTATAGGTTTGACTTTGTACTGACTTAAAGTCACTATTGCCTGAGCAGCACCATGACTTTACTGGCAACACACCTGCTAGGTTTGACTTTGTACTGACTTAAAATTTCTCAGCTGTTTTAGAACTGCCACAGTTGGATGAATGCTGCTTCTAAGATCAGCCCTGGTTTGGTCCTACTGTGAATACAAATTAACCTGTGACCAGACTTTTAAGTCTAACAGAGAAGTTTCCAAGCCTAAATGATGTGTAACGATCATAGACTAGAAGATCACCACGAAGAGCAAGGTGCCATCCTCATACATCCTCCTTAAGGTGATTTCAAGTCAACTTAATAAATTTATATTGAACTACAGGCTTGCTATAAGGCTAAGACAAAGAACCCAGGAGTTGAAGTCAGAGGTCAATATTATGCATTTTCTGAATCATTGGGTCATTTTACACAGGACCGCCAAGAAAAAAAAAAAAGCCTTTAACTTGATATTATCACCATGCACTATTTTCACTCTTGATCTACAATGCTGACATCTATGTAACCAAACGCTCAATATTGGAAATTTGTAGGCCAGTAAAATACTTTTCCTCACACAAGCAATAAAAACAACACGAGAAAATTTTGTCAGTGCAAGTACATCAGCACACCTGTTTCAAAGTTTGAAGAAGCTACAACTTACATTTATGACAGGTTCAGGGCTATGAAAGAGGTTCTCCCACACACCTTTCCATGGTTTCTGGAGGTTCATACCTACCCAGGACCGGGGACTGCGCCGAGCAGTAGGGCATCGTGTCCTCACGGGGAGCCCGGGTGAACAAGCTGAGGTTTGTGTACACATCGTGGGGCTTCGAGTAATCCACCACCTGAGGCGACTCTAAAAACCCGCGGAACACACGCGAAGGTCCGCCTCGGTAGAGGATCAGGATAAATATTGCTTGGAAGACAAACACAAACAGCAGGAAACAATGATTTTCCATACGGGAGAGGAACATAGTGTTTAGCCCATGCTCCAGGATCAGGGCGGTGAGGAGCTGAACTGCCTTCCACGGGCTGCCGTTCCACGCTCTGGGCTACATCGCTGGGCAGACCTCCTCCTCCTCCTCCCCCTCCTTCTTCTCCTCCAACTTTCTGAGGCGGCAGCGTGCTCCCCTAGCTGGGCTTCATCAGGACGCCGAGAGCCAGACCTCCCCCTCCCGGTGCGAGCTGTGCCAGGCGGGCTGGAAGAAGGCAGGAGCCGGCCAAGCCACCCCGCTCGGAGCCCCGGGCCAGCGGCACGGGCTCTCTGTGGCACAGGCGCAGCGCCCGCCCTCCCCCGCCCGCCTTCCGGCCAGACTACAGCTCCCAGAATGCAGGGCGGGGCAGGGCGGGCCCCGGCCGGGCGGTGCTGCCGCCTGGCATGCTGGGAGATGTAGTCATACCCCCCTCCCTCAGCGGCCGCCGCTGTGGGCGAGCAGGGAGAAGGATGGGGTGGCTGCTGAACTGCACCCCGTGTCGTCTCCTCGATGAACATCCGACTGCTGTCTCCACTTTAAATTGGCTATTAAACTGCCCGGGGAGAGATGAATGGAAATTTAGACATTGCAATGCGCAGGGAGGTGGGGCAGTCTCCGTCCCGGGAGGTGTGTGAGGAGGGACTGGGCGTGGCACGCAGTGCCATGGGCTGGTGGCCGTGGTGGTGCTCGGCCAGAGGTTGGACTCGATGGTCTCAGAGGTCTTTTCCAAAGTGGTTCATTAGGCTATTCTGTGGAACGGATAACACAGCAGCCTGGCCACTGTGAGAGGCCTTCTGCCACGGCCATGCTGCCCTGAAAAATTTCAGCTTTTATGCCCCTCTCTTCTCTGGCTGATTTTGTAAAGGGATGGGGCTTAGATTGTGCTGTCAGTCATTTGTCTGCTCTCATGTGCCTGCTTTTGCTTAAATGCGGGAGCGGAAAATACATTTTGCAGATTAAATTCCTACACGACTACAAAGAAGAGTTGGCATTGCACTGTGGAGAGGGTTAAAAGGAAATCTGTGAGGGAGATCAGGCTCCCTGTTCATTTGTCTGCTCTCATGTGCCTGCTTTTGCTTAACTGCAGCAGAAGAAAATACATTTTAAAGATTAAATTCCTACATGACTACAAAGAAGAGTTGGCATTGCACTGGGGAGAGGATTAAAAGGAAATCTGAGGGAGAGCAGGCTCCCTGAGCTCAGCATCCCGCTCCAAGGCACAGCCACCGGCCCGGCAGCCAGCCCATGAGTGCTGGCCCAGACCAGGCACAGCACTGAGCGCTGGACAGGCTGCCCAGACAGACTGCCAGTCTCTTTCCCGGGGGAGATTCTGAAGCTGCCTGGACACAGTCCTGAGGAACGTGCTCTAGGGGACCCTGCTTGAGCGGGAGGGTTGGACATGATGGTCGTCAGTGGTCCCTTCCAGTCTTACCTGTTCTGTGATTTGTGAAGCATGTGCTGCTGTTTGCCTTCCAAATAGGATGGCATGGCAAGAATATGGGGGAGAGAAGGATATCACTTTTATGAGGAGTTGGGAGTACTCTTGCTTCAGAGTTGGACTGAGATGTATGAGACACATGTATGGGAAACTTGATCTCAGTCATTCTCCTGTGCAGAACAACCCATTATTCAATTAAAGTGGATTGCTTAAGGCCTGGATGCAAATTGTCATCATTTCACATTTAATTTTAACTTAATTGGGTTTTTAAATAAAAAATGTAGAGAACTTTTCCCCAGGCAAAGTCTTGCTTTACTGAAATCCACACAATACTGCTGCCACAAAGGTGGCTTTTTTTGTACACCACAATGAGCCTCTACTGTTTACATTCTCCGTGTGCCATTCCCTCTACAATCACAGCAAACCCACCCTGCTTGCCTTCCTCTCCATAAAACAAAGCAACACTCGCTGTTCTGCTGGTAGCTCCAGCAGGTACAATGCCAAGGACAGGAAAGAATTAATCTCTGCATCAGCTGTGAAACAAAGAAAGGAATCAAGACTTTCATGGTATGACCTGGGGCTGCAGATGGTAATTGTTTCAGGACCAGTAGTGCTTTATGTTTCTCTTGCAATCCCTCCTTGGGTCACAGTAGGAAATCTCAGCACAGGAAGAATTTGGACACAGCATGAATGCCTCCCTATGTCTTGGAGAAGGGAGCATCTGAACCATTAGAGCTGCCCCACATCAGTGGCTCTGCTAACTTCCTTGCAGTCAGGGCTTAGTTGTAAAAATTGCCACCTGGTGCCAGTTTTTGGGCAGAAGAACAAGGTCAGATGGAAACAGCCTACCCTAATCTGTATTTTCACCTGTGTGTATATTTGTTCTCCAGACTGGAAAGCTAAATACAGCTAGGCAGATCAGCTGTCTGCAGACAGGCCAGCCAGCACATGTTTCTGTGCAGGCTCGGAGGGCTGAATCTCCAGGTGTGTCTCCCTCAGGAACCTTCCAAACCAAATAAAGTTCCTCTCCTTCCCCTTCAACCATCAGCACTGAGATGAGTGGATCATAAACCCAATCACGAGCCTTTTCCTCGCCAGAAAGAAAGCAAGCCAGGAAGAGCAAAGTGCAGGTCAGAACTCCATGGTGCCAGCAGGTCTGAGCCTTTTCAAGGTCACAGTGCTCCTGTTTTAAACAGAGCTGTGGAAACTAGGGTGTGTTTTGAATTAAAAATGAATTGGATTGCTTAAATGCAAAAAAATAATGTAACTGTCTCCACTGAAGTGTGGAAGGGAGGTGGGGGGAATTTTAGCAACCTTAGCGCAGAGATTTATTGAGGGCAGTGATGGAGGAAAACAATGTGAGACTGGATCTGTAAGAACCAGGCACTGGGCTGGCTTCACAGCCAAAGGTCTGCCTTTCTCATTTTCACACAGCTCCCTGGGAAATTAAATTGAATGCATACAAAAAACCCCCAACAAAAGAAAAAAAACAAAAAAAAACCCACAAAAAACCCCAAAAAAAACCAAACCAAAATACACCCAAACCAAACACCATCTTCAGCAGAGCTTGAAATTAAGTTTGTGCAAGAACCTCTGGATTGTCCCAAGGGAGGGGGCTTTCCCTCCCTCCAAATGCAGTTTCACTTCCAATCAGGGCTGAACATGATGAGAGACTGAGAGGAGTGCCTCACTCTGTTTAATAAGATTCATTCTTGCTTGCTCTTATTCTCTTCTTTTATCCTCCATGCCCTGTCTCCTGGGGGCTGCACTAGATCCCTACTGAAAGTGCAGCAAAGTGGCTTTGGGAAGCTTTGCCTTGAAAATGTAGGGCCCAAGGAGGGGAGGAACAGCTGGTGTAACAGAGTGGTTGATACCAGGCTGGGTGCTGATACAGCACTGGTCAATGTGCATTATCCAGTGCTCTCTCAGTCCCCAGGGCTTCCACTGAGGCAACAGGAAGGTAGCATTAGTCCTTCTACAGGTGGATGCTTTCAGCCAAGCAGAGCTGTCCCTCATTTTTGGGGACTGAGGTGGTTTTAAACCATGACACTGTGATTTCTAGTGAGGTGCATGTTTCAATCACTTTGGCCACAGCAGTTCTTTCTCAGCCTTTTGCAGGATCTTGGCTTGTAAACATCACATTGTTTTCTAGCAGCACCTTTGTGAATGTGATTTTTTTTTTATTATACATGTATGAATTTGGCTTGTTCTCTAGTAAGCTAAATTTTCAGCATGGCTTCCTCAGAAAAGTTTTAAAACTGCTTCCATGTTTCTGAGAGGTGGATGCCCTGCTGTTAAAAAAACCCGGATACCTGACATCATGTACCTTGGACCAGTGCTAGGGTAATTTAGTGAGAACTTTAGAAACAGAACCTGGATACCAAGCTTCTGCTAGGCTTGTGGAAGAGCCAACTGTGGGCTCCTGTCAAACAGACATTTCACTCATACAGCTTGTGGCACCCTTCCCCTTGGGATGGAGAGCCGACTGCCTGCCCTATGTTTTGACCACCACTCACTTCTGAGTCACGGTCAGCGCCTTTACAGAGCAATCTCAGTAGGGATGGGCATCATGCCCAAAATGTCTGCTAGAGATGCCACGAGACTCTGGAGTTTAGGCTGTATTCTCCTGTTTCCTATTTCCTTTATCTCCATCATGCAGGCAGTGGTCTCAGGGACCTGATATGTTTTTGCTTCACTTTCGCTTGTAACATTTAGGCCAGAGGAAGAGTGAAATGAGTAGCCTTGAAATGAGAACACTTAAAATAGATACTTTTCCCATTATAGATTCCGCTGTGTTTTCCTGGAAAAGGAGTGAGGACTTAGGCTGCAGACAAGACAATGCAATATCATACTATTCACATCATATTTTAATAATGCTCTAGTACCATTCAATATAAATAAATAACCATTAAAAAGTACTTTCTCGACATTCTCTTTTGTTCATCAATAGTATTTTCTGCAACAGGAAAGGTTAGTAATATTCATTGCTTGGTGAGTTGAATGAATCTCAGAGAACATGAATATCTGGTACTAATATGCTAGTAAAAACCAGGCGCTGGGATGCCTTCTCTTATTGAAACACTTTGGGCTTGATCAGTGGCTTCCCTCCTTACTGCACTCACTTCCCCTGAAGCCTGCAACCCTGACAGCTGCTTCTGTCCTGGGCTCTCCCACCCAGCTCTGCTGACAAACAACCACCTTAACCTGTGGTGCCTTTTACTCACCCACACTTAGCTGATATGGCCTGGCCAGCAGCAGTTCTTGCTATCCTCGGGCTGCTCTACAGGGAACACAGTATTTGTGCTGAACAGGTCCATCTGTCTGCTAGCCTGGAATGTCAGCTGTCCAGACCAGGTCTCGGTTCTGCACAATGTAGTGACTGACAGAACTTCTTGATTCACAGAAGGTCTGCTCCACAGGGCCAGGCTGGAGCAAGAATGGAGGTGGTGCAATAGGGCTGGTCTTGAGAGCTGACTCTGACCAAGACTGAGCTGACAGTGTCGTGCATACAGAAAGAGTAATTTTGCTTTCTTGTAAGGATGTAGAGAGAACAGCTCTCTAAAAACATGTGTGTGGTGGAATCTGTTGCAATGGGAATAGATCCTTGCTACAAACACTCACTGTCAGTGCCTAAACCCTATGCAGAACCTGGGTGAGGTTAAAGGGCAGAGAATGAATCACCACATCTCCTCCCGTTCATACGGGCAGAAACTTTACCCATCTCAGAGGAGAAAATGGAGGATCATAAATCAACTCTTTTATTCCTTCGCTCTTGCTCATTCATTGAAAGCACAAAGAAGGAGACTCAATCTTGGGTTAATGCTGGGTAGAAGCACTGAGCCCACCTGCCCTGTGGCAGGATGGGCTGGTGAAGCCCACTGGAGTGCAAGCCCTGCTACCT